TCTGGCGAGGGGGTACTGTAGGGATCATCTATGCGATTTATCATCTATGCGATTTGTCATCTATGCGATTTGTTATTTCATGCTGTCATTTTCATTTATATTGTCACCGCTTTATTAATCAATCTGTTACCTGTTGTCAATTGCGCGTCAAGTTTGTTTGTTATTTGTAAACCGGCCTGCCGCTGGCCTCAACCTTCCTAGTAACCGCTGTGCCATACGCTATAGAACGTGTCGTGCAAAGGTCACGGCGGCACCCCTGAGGCGGCCGCTGCCCGTACGTTTAGGAGCCCATTGTCGTGACGTCATGACTGTGGACAAAGGTCGCGGTAGGGGCTCTCCCGGCAGCCGGACGGTGACTCATACGTTGAGCTTGTCTCTCGCCGCGCCTGCGGGCATATTGGTAGTACTAGGGACGGCCAGCATGTTACCGCGGTTTTCGGCGACATTGTCAATTCGTTTTTCGACTCTGCTGTTCGCTGCAAGACCAATACACATAGAAAACGGCTCGGGCATTTGGAGAAGAGCGGCTACTCTGAGGCGAGGGAAGAACACGGAGATTCACGCAAACGACCTGACTAGGTTGCACCGGCCACAGTCGACCGAGGTGGGCTTCCGCGCCCTTAAAGACGCCTCTGACTGGCCATTGCGCTGACACCCTGGTCGGACCACGGTCATTGATCGGACCCTGCCACTGGTTCGTGCTCAGGCTGCCTTAGCGGGTAGACCTGCTCGACCAGACGCCCACTGGTGGGCGAGTGCTCGGTTCCGACTTTCACCGCCGGTCCAACAGCGTTCTGCTGGTTCCCGCCGATCCGGTTACGACACCGCAAGTGCCGTACCGACTCGGGCGTCCCAGGTGGGCGTAACGGTTACCACACCAGTTCGCGACCCCCAGGCTCTGTCAGCCGTCGTACGGCTCTCGGACGGACACTCTAATAGATCAGCCACAGATCAATAGATTGTCACGGACCGTCCGTCCAGCCACGCGCTACACACAGCGCAGTACGACAGTGTGTGCTGTCCCAGAGAGTATCTACAGTCCCACACTGACACCCGCCGGTGGTGTGTGCTGTCCCAGAGAGTATCTACAGTCCCACACTGACACCCGCCGGTGGTGTGTGCTGTCCCAGAGAGTATCTACAGTCCCACACTGACACCCGCCGGTGGTGTGTGCTGTCCCAGAGAGTATCTACAGTCCCACACTGACACCCGCCGGTGGTGTGTGCTGTCCCAGAGAGTATCTACAGTCCCACATTGACACCCGCCGGTGGTGTGTGCTGTCCCAGAGAGTATCTACAGTCCCACACTGACACCCGCCGGTGGTGTGTGCTGTCCCAGAGAGTATCTACAGTCCCACTCTGACACCCGCCGGTGGTGTGTGCTGTCCCGGAGAGTATCTACAGTCCCACACTGACACCAGCCGGTGGTGTGTGCTGTCCCAGAGAGTATCTACAGTCCCACACTGACACCCGCCGGTGGTGTGTGCTGTCCCAGAGAGTATCTACAGTCCCACACTGACACCCGCCGGTGGTGTGTGCTGTCCCAGAGAGTATCTACAGTCCCACACTGACACCCGCCGGTGGTGTGTGCTGTCCCAGAGAGTATCTACAGTCGCACACTGACACCAGCCGGTGGTGTGTGCTGTCCCAGAGAGTATCTACAGTCCCACTCTGACACCCGCCGGTGGTGTGTGCTGTCCCAGAGAGTATCTACAGTCCCACACTGACACCCGCCGGTGGTGTGTGCTGTCCCAGAGAGTATCTACAGTCCCACTCTGACACCCGCCGGTGGTGTGTGCTGTCCCAGAGAGTATCTACAGTCCCACACTGACACCCGCCGGTGGTGTGTGTTGTCCCAGAGAGTATCTACAGTCCCACACTGACACCCGCCGGTGGTGTGTGCTGTCCCAGAGAGTATCTACAGTCCCACATTGACACCCGCCGGTAGTGTGTGCTGTCCCAGAGAGTAGCTACAGTCCCACACTGACACCCGCCGGTGGTGTGTGCTGTCCCAGAGAGTATCTACAGTCCCACACTGACACCCGCCGGTGTTGTGTGCTGTCCCAGAGAGTATCTACAGTCCCACACTGACACAGGCCGGTGGTGTGTGCTGTCCCGGAGAGTATCTACAGTCCCACACTGACACCCGCCGGTGTTGTGTGCTGTCCCAGAGAGTATCTACAGTCCCACACTGACACAGGCCGGTGGTGTGTGTGCTGTCCCAGAGAGTATCTACAGTCCCACACTGACACCCGCCGGTGGTGTGTGTGCTGTCCCAGAGAGTATCTACAGTCCCACTCTGACACCCGCCGGTGGTGTGTGCTGTCCCAGAGAGTATCTACAGTCCCACACTGACACCCGCCGGTGGTGTGTGCTGTCCCAGAGAGTATCTACAGTCCCACACTGACACCCGCCGGTAGTGTGTGCTGTCCCAGAGAGTATCTACAGTCCCACTCTGACACCCGCCGGTGGTGTGTACTGTCCCAGAGAGTATCTACAGTCCCACACTGACACCCGCCGGTGGTGTGTGCTGTCCCAGAGAGTATCTACAGTCCCACACTGACACCCGCCGGTGGTGTGTGCTGTCCCAGAGAGTATCTACAGTCCCACACTGACACCAGCCGGTGGTGTGTGCTGTCCCAGAGAGTTTCTACAGTCCCACACTGACACCCGCCGGTAGTGTGTGCTGTCCCAGAGAGTATCTACAGTCCCACACTGACACCCGTCGACCACACTGACACCCGCCGGTGGTGTGTGTTGTCCCAGAGAGTATCTACAGTCCCACACTGACACCCGCCGGTGGTGTGTGCTGTCCCAGAGAGTATCTACAGTCCCACACTGACACCAGCCGGTGGTGTGCGCTGTCCCAGAGAGTATCTACAGTCCCACACTGACACCCGCCGGTGGTGTGTGCTGTCCCAGAGAGTATCTACAGTACCACACTGACACCCGCCGGTGTTGTGTGCTGTCCCAGAGAGTATCTACAGTCCCACACTGACACCCGCCGGTGGTGTGTGTGCTGTCCCAGAGAGTATCTACAGTCCCACACTGACACCCGCCGGTGGTGTGTGTGCTGTCCCAGAGAGTATCTACAGTCCCACTCTGACACCCGCCGGTGGTGTGTGCTGTCCCAGAGAGTATCTACAGTCCCACTCTGACACCCGCCGGTGGTGTGTGCTGTCCCAGAGAGTATCTACAGTCCCACACTGACACCCGCCGGTGGTGTGTGCTGTCCCAGAGAGTATCTACAGTCCCACACTGACACCCGCCGGTGGTGTGTGCTGTCCCAGAGAGTATCTACAGTCCCACACTGACACCCGCCGGTGGTGTGTGCTGTCCCAGAGAGTATCTACAGTCCCACACTGACACCCGCCGGTGGTGTGTGCTGTCCCAGAGAGTATCTACAGTCCCACATTGACACCCGCCGGTGGTGTGTGCTGTCCCAGAGAGTATCTACAGTCCCACACTGACACCCGCCGGTGGTGTGTGCTGTCCCAGAGAGTATCTACAGTCCCACTCTGACACCCGCCGGTGGTGTGTGCTGTCCCGGAGAGTATCTACAGTCCCACACTGACACCAGCCGGTGGTGTGTGCTGTCCCAGAGAGTATCTACAGTCCCACACTGACACCCGCCGGTGGTGTGTGCTGTCCCAGAGAGTATCTACAGTCCCACATTGACACCCGCCGGTGGTGTGTGCTGTCCCAGAGAGTATCTACAGTCCCACACTGACACCCGCCGGTGGTGTGTGCTGTCCCAGAGAGTATCTACAGTCCCACTCTGACACCCGCCGGTGGTGTGTGCTGTCCCAGAGAGTATCTACAGTCCCACATTGACACCCGCCGGTGGTGTGTGCTGTCCCAGAGAGTATCTACAGTCCCACACTGACACCCGCCGGTGGTGTGTGCTGTCCCAGAGAGTATCTACAGTCCCACACTGACACCCGCCGGTGGTGTGTGCTGTCCCAGAGAGTATCTACAGTCCCACACTGACACCCGCCGGTGGTGTGTGCTGTCCCAGAGAGTATCTACAGTCCCACACTGACACCCGCCGGTGGTGTGTGCTGTCCCAGAGAGTATCTACAGTCCCACATTGACACCCGCCGGTGGTGTGTGTGCTGTCCCAGAGAGTATCTACAGTCCCACTCTGACACCCGCCGGTGGTGTGTGCTGTCCCAGAGAGTATCTACAGTCCCACTCTGACACCCGCCGGTGGTGTGTGCTGTCCCGGAGAGTATCTACAGTCCCACACTGACACCAGCCGGTGGTGTGTGCTGTCCCAGAGAGTATCTACAGTCCCACACTGACACCCTCTGGTGGTGTGTGCTGTCCCAGAGAGTATCTACAGTCCCACACTGACACCAGCCGGTGGTGTGTGCTGTCCCAGAGAGTATCTACAGTCCCACACTGACACCCTCTGGTGGTGTGTGCTGTCCCAGGAAGGCGGCCTCTGTGCTGTCCCACCACCCGGAGCGAATCACCTCCGGAGAACAGGCCCGCCAGCTGGCCGGCGTCGGGCGCAAAATCGCCGACAAAATCGACGAGTTTCTGCAGACGGGTCACCTGCGCAAGCTGGACAAGGTAGGAGGGGCAGGGGACGAGGTCACATGGGCCCAGCCATGTGGCCCAGCCGTACTAACTGCGGTAAATAGGATTTGGCAGCACTGGCTAAAGTTCAGCTACAGCAAATGCTATTAAACACAAAATGATTTCTACGTATTTCGGTTTATCGTATATTGACGTTCCCGCGAATTAGCTCGTTCAGTTATGATAGACGCGTGTTACCGGCAGTGGTGCGGGCCGCGTGCCGCCGGGGGAGGGGAGTTGGTAGTGTCGCCGGGGGAGGGGAGTTGGTAGTGTCGCCGGGGAGGGGGCAGTGTCGCCGGGGAGGGGTGAGGGGGGCAGTGTCGCCGGGGAGGGGGGGCAGTGTCGCTGGGTAGGTGACCGGGGCGCGGGCGGCCGCCGGTAACCCGCTGACGCCGGCCGCGCTCTGCCGTCCGTCAGATCCGCGCCAGTGACGTAGCCGTGGCCACCGCTGAGCTGAGCCGAGTGTCGGGCATTGGACCGGCCAAGGCGCGCCAGCTCATCGACGGCGGCGTCCGCACCCTGGAGGAGCTGCGAGCGCGGCCCGAGCTGCTCAACCGCCACCAGACGCTGGGACTCAGGTGGGGGGCTCAACCAACACCAGACGCTGGGACTCGGGTGGGGGAGGGGGGCTCAACCGCCAGCAGACGCTGGGACTCAGGTGGGGGAGGGGGGCTCAACCGCCACCAGACGCTGGGCCTCAGGTGGGGAGCTCAGTCACCAGCATATGCTGGGACTCAGGTGGGCGCGGCAGGGCGCTGGGGCGGAGAGACGTACCCAGTCTGCCTAGAGTGGTGGGCCAGACTAGTCATTGTTAACCTTGGTAGGGGGGGGGGGGGAGATATTCTGGAATCTGGATAGGTTTAGAGTACAATGAGGATATTCAGCAAATGAGCAGTTGGGACGTACCGCTCCGTTACTGCTAGTTACCGCTCAGTTACGGCTCAGTTACGGCTCAGTTACCGCTCAGTTACCGGTCAACTACTGCTCAGTCACTGCTCAGTTCCCGGTCAGGCTAGCTGGCCGACGTGTTGTATATCGCGTGGCGCCTCCCCCGTTTTTAGCGCTCTGTCTGCTGTAGGTAGGTTACCGTTTTGAGTGCTCTGTGTGTGTCTGTATCTGTACAGGTACGTGACCGAGTTCGAGAGTCGTATCCCGCGCCAGGAGGTGGCTGCCATCGAGCGGCACGTGCTGCAGAGAGTGGCAGAGCTGGACGGACGGTACCGGGCCACCGTCTGCGGCAGCTACCGGTCAGTTACCGGGCCACCGTCTGCGGCAGCTACCGGTCAGTTACCGGGCAGTTAATGGTCAGTTACCGGGCCACCGTCTGCGGCAGCTACCGGTCAGTTATCGGGCCACCGTCTGCGGCAGCTACCGGTCAGTTATCGGGCCACCGTCTGCGGCAGCTACCGGTCAGTTATCGGGCAGTTAATGGTCAGTTACCGGGCCACCGTCTGCGGCAGCTACCGGTCAGTTATCGGGCCACCGTCTGCGGCCAGGCAGTTAACGGTCAGCTACCGGTCAGTTACCGGTCAGTTAACGCTCAGTTAACGGTCAGTTACCGGGCAGTTTCCGGTCAGTTACCAGGCAGTTTCCGGTCACTTATCGGGCCACCGTCTGCGGCAGCTACCGGTCAGTTACCCGGCCATGGGTGGAGAATCTGCCCCGGCCACCCCGGCCGTGGCCGGGGTAACTTTCAGGCGACCCCGGCGCGGCCGGGGTAACTTTTTCTACTTTCGTTAATCCTAAAAGCTGTCTCCATACGAAAAAAACTGTCATCTATAAAAGCGTCTCTCATTATTCTTATCTACCTTGAAAAGTTCTTGAAAATTTACTTTATTTTCATTTTGGAGCTTCTATGTTTTTAAGTCTTTTCATCGCGGAGCCCGACATGTTTCATCAAACAGAAGTAAATCATATTTAAGGGCCGTTATCGTAAGATGGCACTGTAATAACATCACAAGACAGGACGAGGGTAATATCAGTGAGATAGAAGGACGAGCTACTGGGGCTCAAGGCTCCCCCAACTTAACCGGCGCCAGGGTGGTGGCCTTATCGTAACACGTTGAGTCGAGAGGTGGGCTGTTCACGCTCCTTCTAGCTCGGCTACTGGGCTACGAGGCGAGAAGCGGAACGACGTTTGAAAGAGCGACAAACGTGATCAGCGAAATCTGGTCATGTTTTAGGCAAGGTCAATAATATAATCACCATAGATCATCAAAAGCCAAATTTCTCTGATTTTAGCGTTCTCCGACAACTTTTCTCACAGTTCATGAGCATAACGGAGCTTAACCCTATTCCTGGCGGGGGGGCCTCAGGAGCCCCCCCCCCCCCCTGAGGTTTTTTGGTTATATCTCCCAAACGCGTTGAGCTAGGACGCTCAAATTTTCTGACTTTTCCTAAAAGGCTTCTATGCAACATGTCTGAAAATTTTGAGTTGATCTGACCTCAGGTCAGGTCACCAGAGGCGGTTTGGTGACGCTACCTCAGAAAAGTTTGCAATCACGCCAGAGCTAGAGTTTTTGACCGATCAATTTCTTCTCTTCAGGGTTTAGTTAGGGTACCAGTATGTGCAATTTGTATATCTCGGAATTTTGATATCGGTGACCTAAGGTCAGGTCAATTTCGCGACCTCCCCATTATAAGTCAATGGGGGAAAAATCAACTCCCTGTTTTTACCACTAAAACGGGTCGGAATGGCCCCATATACCATACATGACTTCATATACGATCAACCTTCACTACCTTGAGGTCTGTTTTGCTGTTGGGCAGCTGTGAGGTCACGTGACGTCATCAAAGGTCACCAAAGGTTTTTGGCCAATAACTCCGTACAGGAACAAGATACAGACGCGTGGATGGTCTCATTGTGTTCAGCTCGTCAAGACGCATCGAATGATATACATGATGACCTCGAGGTCACGTGACCTGAGGTCAACCTTTGACCTTGACCTTTCGAGGTCAACATATATATCATTCGATGCGGATTGACGAGAGGATCACGATGATGCCCTTAGTTTGTTCCTATCTTGACTAATTCGAAAGTTATTCGAGAAAAACTCTCTCCATATCTAGTGCCGCCATTTTGACTTTTTCGACCACTGTGACGTCATCTTTGACCTGACCTGAAAATGACCTTTGTAAAAATTGTAGATCTTGGCCGTGCATATCCGATGCCGTTTACCGCTTGTCGCTATCTTGCTTCGTTCTCGAGATCTCAGGGGGGGGGGGCCGAATCGGCCCCCCCCCCGCCAGTTTCTTGTCCCGGCGGAGCCCGCCAGGAATAGGGTTAAACACTGCAAACAAAACACTCGATTACTCGTTTAAGGCTCGGTCGCGAATAATATTTTAGTTGCGAGCTCAAATCAATAAGAGGGTCAAAACGGTCAAATTTGACATTTTGTTTTGTGTCGGAAGGTTGCAACTTCCACGGAATAAGCTTTGCAAAGGGCATGATGGCAGTTTTGCACGATGATCCATCAAATTTGACCTGATGACCTGACCTAGCACTAGGTGACATGCGTCCGAAATTTTAAGGCGTGCCGCGTGTTGCAAAATTGTTGTTACAATTACAAAATCTTCCGCACCTGCGTTCATCAGTTTTCCCTATAAAAACATACAAACGATAGACATCCATTATTCTATGCCACAGAATAGGGGTTTGTTGATAACCGTTGACAAATATTTGAGCATCATCGTCTTTCTGACTTTCTGTCGCCGGCCGGGGTAACTTTTTCAAACATTCTCCACCCGTGTACCCGGCAGTTAACGGTCAGTTATCGGGCAGTTACCGGGCCACCGTCTGCGGCAGCTACCGGTCAGTTATCGGGAAGTTAACGGTCAGTTACCGGGCCACCGTCTGCGGCAGCTACCGGTCAGTTACCAGGCAGTTTCCGGTCTCAGTTACCGGTCAGTTAACGATCAGTTAACGGGAAGTTACCGGGCCACCGTCTGCGGCAGCTACCGGTCAGTTACCAGGCAGTTAACGGTCAGCTACCGGGCAGTTGCCGGGCAGTTAACGGTCAATTACCGGGCAGTTAACGGTCAGTTACCGGGCAGTTAACGGTCAGTTATCGGGCACTTACCAGTCAGTTACGGTCAGTTACCGTCAGTTATCGGCAGAGCTGGGCAAGTGCGTTCCTTTAGTGCGTTCCTGCGTTCTTCCGTACGTACGCACCGCCCTTTTTAGGAACGCAAGAACGCAGGAACGCAAAGTTTTTCAAAGGAACGCAAGTAAGAGGAACGCACCACCCAAAATTTTGAAGCGTTCCTGCGTTCTTGCGGAACCACCCGAAAAATCATATTGCTGCCAATGACCTCTGTGTCAAATGTTTGAATCTCGAGTACGTGTGTTTGCCGGTAGAGGCGCCACTTGTCGGTCGAATCGAGGAAGGCTTGTTTAGATTTAGTGGTGATGTTCACTATTCGATTCGGTTTCAGGCATCAAATGTGTAAAGGAAATATGATAACTTTTACTTAGATACATCTTTCAACTTAACCCTCGCCCTGGCAGGGCCTTTTTCATAACACGGCCTGGCCTGGCAGGGGGGGGGGTCGATGCGACCCCCCTCGCGATTGGCTCCTATGGCACCTAGAAACACCAAATTTGGTAGGTAGGTGGGCCCCATGGAGTTCTCGCCCCTGTGCAAATTTGGTTGTTCTAGGTCAATATTTAGGGGTTTTGGGGGTATAAATGTAAAAATTTCGCTAAAACAGGTCAAAGTTTTTCGCTTATAACTTTTGATCTAATTAACCCGCGCCCTGGTGGGGTCTGTTTATAACGCGACCTGGTGGGGGGGGGCTATTTTTTGCCCCCCCCCCCGTATCTCCGAAACTACTGAACGGATCCGA